GCTGTCTCCAGACACAGTTGTCTTTATGTAGCTCAGATCTCACTCCCTCATCTTTCACCCTTCTCCTCTTGTCTCAGTCTTCTCCCGTTTCTCTGCCTCACTCTTTCAATTCTTGTTTCAAGTACAGACTATACTGGCTGCGTTTTACAACCTGTGCAACAGAGAAAAGAATTTGAAGCAGGAAGTATCAAAATGAAAATATACCATGCCTGGCAGAAAGAAAATTTAAAAATCTTAACCTAGTACAGAATAACCCAAAAGCTTCCCAAGGCTGATAAATACATCTCTTTTAATTGTTTAGCTTAGAATCATATCCTTAAAGACTTTCTTCCCCACCCACAAGTCACTGTGAAAGGCAAAGGACTTAACATAAATGCAATGAAATCTCACAGATACATCTACTCACTCAGCTAACAACAAAGAACTGGGCTAGCAGCCTATTGTTATAGACAGGCTGAAGTTGAGACCTCCCTGGTAAACTAAGTTTGAGATCTTCAAAAATAGTGGAGAAATCAATAAGTAACAAATATAGGTTATATAACAAGCTATGAATAAGTTCCCTCGCTATTCCTTTCACTCAAAGTCATTTACTTTCTGAACATAACCAACTACTAATAGCAGCAGCCTGACCATAGACCTGTGCCAACCAGGGTCTCTTCTCTCAAAGGCTCAACTGCTGTGTATGCACCAACCAACAAGCACTCTGCATATCAACTGTCACCTCATAGTACACTGTTCCACTGCAACGGGTAATGTTACTTGTTAGAAATGTTACTATCTTATACCTAAAAGACTTCTCTTTAAGGCAGCAGCTTCCAACCTGTGGGTAGTGACCCCTTTGGGGGTCAAACGACCCTTTCTCAGGGGTCACCTAAGGTCACTGGAAAAAACAGATCATTATGATTCATAACAGTAGCAAAATTACACTTATGTAGCAATGAAAGTAATTTTATGGTTGGGGAGTCACATTAGGGGATCAAGGACCATGCCCTATGGGAACATATTTCCTACTACTGATGTCTTGGCTATGGAATGTTAATAGAAAAGACATGTATCATGCAAGAACTTTGTGTGTGCGAGCGCGCGCGCGTGTGTGTGTGTGTGTGTGTGTGTGTGTGCACATGAACATGTCCCACACATGTGTACATGGGTATGATGGGGCAGGGAGGGTAATAGCTCAGTGGTAGACTGCTTGTCTGGTATGCTCAAGACCCTGGATTTGATCTCCAACACCTACTAAAACCAAACAAATGCCCACAACAAAAAAAACCTGTCAAGAGCAACAAAAAACAATTGTTTGGCTCTGACATTTTTTCTTTTCCTGATTATCTCTCTATTGTCTTCTTCAGCTTAGGTTCCAGAATATAGAAGATGTAAAATTAAAAACCCAGTCAATTACAATGACTTCACAGTGGCTTCCAAGACCTGAGGATCAGTCCAAAATTTTCTGCACCAGCTTGCCCACAGCTATTATCTTGAGAGAGCTGGCACCTCCTGAACAGTCTCAGTGGACTTATCTATTATACCAGCACTCCTGTGACCCACATTCCTGGTGCTCCCACATTGTTCTGCTTCTATATCTTTGCATTCAGGGTATTCTTGACCCTAGAATGTGCCTCTTGATTGCTACCATGCAAAATTCTGCTCATTTTCCAAATGTTCCCCCGATCTCCTAGGAAACACTCCATTAGTGGCTGACTGTAACATGTGTCCTCCCTTACTTTATAGTAATGACTCCAGTTCACTGGCAAGTACAGCTATATCTGGCTCATGAAAGGCATGCCTAAGGGAAGAGGCTTCCCACAATTCTGTAGAGCTACTGTGAAAGGTTTATAAAGACTTTTTATAACAGAAAGAAGTACATTTTCACTGTTCAGGCCACTGAAAGTTTCGGTTTTCCTGCTTTACTCAGGTGAACCTAATCCTAACTGATATAACTTTTGAATACTTTGTATCTCTTTTATAGTTCTCAAATGAAAATAGACCAACTATTGTTCTCATCATTTCACAGAAGACTGCCTTGAATCTAGCAATCTCTAGTTGGAATAGTCTCACTCTGTGGACCAGGCTGGCCTTGTATTTGTGATCCTACTGCCTTTACCTCCCCAGTGCTGATATTTTAGGTATACTCTATCACACCCTGCCCTGAAATAATGCTATGATTACATGCTCAGATAAGCCTCTGCTCCCAGCAGTATGTCTCATGTATTTCCAATATGTTTTTGTTTTCACAATTTTTCCAGATCAATTAAACTTATTAGGTAAAGACAGGCGCCATTGGACATTTGTAATCTAGTACTTATTAGGTATAATCAGATACTATCTCAAAATAATTTTTGTAAGTAAATTCTCATAAGATGTATATCAAGGAAGTAAATTAGGGGAGAAAATTTAGAAAAACAATACATGAAGAGAACCTTAACTAATCCTATTTCACAGACTGGTAGTAAACTTTCTCAAGAGATTTTTTTTATATACATAGACATCTTCTGCCATAAGCCATCAACTTAGGTCATGTGCTATAAAATATAAAATTCCTTCCTGCAAACACAGAAACTGTAGGAAACTGTAGGAATTTTGGGGTTAAAAATGATCTGTTGTGAAGTAATGTTCTGGAAATGTCCACAGCATTTACTACACTACTGTTTATATATCATACGTGATTAGAAGCCTATTTTCTCTCTCTCTCTCCCTCTCTCTCTCTCTCTCTCTTTTTTTTTTTTCTTGACACAGGGTTTCTCTGTGAGGCTTTGGAGCCTGTCCTGGAACTTGCTCTGTAGACCAGGCTGGCCTCAAACTCATAGGGAGCTGCCTGCCTCTGTCTCCCAGATGCTGGGATTAAAGGCATGTACCACCACCGCCTGGACCCCTCTTTTCATTATTAATGTTGTAATCCAATTTTTGTTCATGTTTCTCCATTTATTATGGGAATGTTTATTTGTAGACTAGGCATATTTACCAATAAATACATAAAGCATCCTCAGATCATGTTTTAGAATTATAATTCTGAAAATCCATTATGAGCAAAAATTAAAAAATAAAAATGGCCAGTACCTGAGACTCATGTGGAATAAAGGAAATGTTTATTTCTTTACATCTTCTTATTGACTTGGAGCAAGATGCTTTAATCTTGTTAAAGAGGCTGTCAGGGCAAACTGAGGGGAAAGCACAAGTCCATAAGTCTTTATTCCTTTTGAACAAATTATCCAACATGCAATAATGTTTTTATGTATAGTGTCTGGATTTTATAAAGCAAACTGCTCTGCAGACAATCACTACAAGGCATGAAACAGAGGGGGAAATAACAGGCTAAATCTTTTGTTGTTGTTTTTCCAGACAGGTTTTCTCTGTACCCCTGGCTGTCCTGGAACTTGCTCTGTAGAGCAGGCTGGTCTTGAACTCACAGAGATCTGCCTGCCTCTGCTGGGATTAAAGGCAAGTGCCACCACTGCCTGGCTTCAGACTTCTTATTGAAATACAGTCATGTAACAGAATACAAAATATAAATGTCTCAGGACTTCTTTCTTCTCTCCTGCTTTCCAAGTAAATGTATACAATGAGAAAAATATGATAGATCATTTTTCTCCCATAAAATATCCCAAATAAAAACGCTGTTTTCTTTGGTTCCTTCCCCTAGACTTCTTTCTGATAACTGGGATTCTGATTAAGATTCCAAAACACTCATACATGTAAACTAAAAAACAGATACCCTAAAATTAACAGGATGCTAAATGATGAGATAACCTTTAGAAAGGCACTTACAGTCAGTGAAGTATATGTATGCAGCCTTATATTTGTTCTCACATTTACTTCCAAAGTCTCGCAAGAAACAATCTACGGACTTAAAAAGAAATGAGATATTAACACATATTTTATTAAAAAATAACTTAAATATGCTATCTTTGAAGTAACCAAGTTTATTTGTTTCAATAAAATAGGCTCTTACGAGCTATAAAGTTTACCTTACAGACTGTTTTTTTAAGATAACCATTTTTTCAGCCAGTGATAGTTACTAAGGCAGCAGACTAAGGTAACAAGTGAGAAGGTAATGTAAACACACAGATGCTATTATTGGCAATGAGGAAGTGTAGGACACAAACAATAGATGACAAGATTGTGGGACGACAACAGATCGAGGAGTTAAGAAGCCAAGGTACTGGCAGTATCATATGAAAAGGAAATCACCAAGACTTATCACGGGAGAATTTTTCAAAAAATGTGTTATTAAGTAAGGAACTAAAACTGCTAAGACATTACAATAAAAGACTGAGAGTCTGGTAAATGCCTCAAGGAGGAAGAATACCAGGCAATGCAGTTGGCAGTATATGTCTTAATGTGGTAGTTTTAAAAAGAAAGAAAGTCAGGGGCTGGAGGGACTACTCAGTAGTTAAGAGCACCTGCTGCTCTTGCAGAGGACTTGGGTTTGGCTCCCACATGGAGCTCACAACTGTCCTTACCCCCAGTGCCAGGAAATTGGATGCCCTTTTCTGGATCTGCAGGCACCATGAAAATAAGTGGCAAAAACACACATGCATCCACTCCTCCTTCATTTCCGTTCAGAAAAGGGCAGGCCTCTCATGAATATCGACAAAACATGATGTAGCAAGTTGCAGTAAGACTAAGCACCTCCCCTTGTATTAAGACTGGGCAAGGCAACCTGGTATGAGTAGGGTACCAAAAGCCAGCAAAAGAATCAGCGTCAGCCCCTGCTCCCACTGTTGGACTAGTTTATCTACTCCGGGAAAATTATAGCTTAACAGGAGCTTTGTGAATCACAAATTCTGCAAAGAAATTACCATTTTATGTCATTACATTCTTTTTTAAAAAAAGATAATCACTTGAATAGGAAAATGAAAACAGCAAGTTAATACTCTCTCCTGTCCATCTGATGCTTCTTCTCTTGCAAATCTACATTTCTATAACACTACACAGATCTATTGTAAGTCTTTGATGATTAATTTTTCTTTATAACTTGGTGATATTCCGTTCGAATCTTACAGACCACTGATGTAAATCTCTGGAGAGTGACCCTTCCTTTCATCAGCTGTTTTAACAAGCAGGCACACTCTGGGCTCCAGGAAGTGTTTCAGAGCTACTGGGTCTCTCCATGCTCTGCTACTTTTCTGTTCAGGACAGCAAACTCTTCAAGCAGTCCTTTCCCTAGATGGATGTTTTCTTCAGTTCACCGGACTTCCTCTCTCTGGCAGCTGGACCTCCTTAGGTGTGTGGCTGGAAGCTTTTCTTTATCAATCACATGAGAATCAGGCTCAACTGAGGGATGACCCTAAATACAGTCACTTCCACAGAAGCAGGAAGGCAAAGAAGTTTTTCTTCCCATGGGCAAATCACCAAAGCAAAGCACACAAACCACTAAGGAAGCCTTTCTGACACCAGCTGACCTCCACCTCAACTCTTCAGATCTCCTCCAGCAGACCTCCTTAAGTCTGTCTATGATTCTCATCTGGAAACCCTGATGCTGGTCTCAGATTCTCCCAGCCCAGAGGGAAGCAAATCTCACAATGGGGATCTTCACAGTGCTCCCAAAGACTCCAAGGCCTCACTCGCCTGCAGCATCTGCTTCAAGCTGAGAAGAGATGCTGGGTTGAATGTGGGTGGTATGAGGGTCACATCAGGTACTGCCTTCTCTAAATTGTCTGCTACTTTACTGAGTATATAATTGTGTATTTTTTGTCACTGAACATTAAAAAATAACTTAAATATGCTATCTTTGAAGTAACCATTAAATCATTAATTCTGCTTTCATATATAATAGGAGAAAGGAAATCTTTCTTTATTCATTCTTACTGGGAGGAGTACAAATAAAACATAATACAGAAAAACTTTTCATAAATAAAGCAATTAGTAGAAATAATCTAATAAGGCTTATTTAATACTTAGTGAAGCAACTGTTTGTGTGTTTTAATATCAAGGGCTGAGGGGGCTAGAAAGATGGCTCAGCAGTTACAAGCATAGCTACAAGTGCTCAGTTTCCAGGCACCCACATTGGGCAGCTCACAATGGCCCATAACTCCAGTTACAGGAGATCCAATTCCCTCTTCTGGCCTTCACACATACCTGCACACATGTGTACACATACAAAAAAGCAGAAACACTACTATACATACAAAATAAAAACTAATTAAGAAAATCTTAAGATGAAGGCTTGGTGAGTCTTGCACATATGAAAGCACACACTCTACCACTGAGCTATACCCCAGCCCAAAAACTCCCTCTCAAGACTGGAAATACTCACTTTTGATGTTGGAGAGATAAAATAAAGAGCTTTCATTTGTCTGACGGGTTCACGATTCTTATAAATATTCTCTATAACTGACAACAAACAAAAGTCATTTGATAGAACCAACATTTAAAATATTTTTAAATAAATTCCACTGTATTTTCCATTTATAATAATAACAAAACATTTATATATATTTGGCTTCTTTTCATTTGCTAAATTAATAAATCCTAAAAAAAAAAGAAGCATCTTCTCTGAGACTATACGTGGGATCGTGTAAGCATGGGAAGACGACAAAGCAGAGCTTTCACAAGTGGGTACCAATGTGATAAAATTTAAAAATAATTATATATATGCATATATATACATATATACACACACATATATATTTTTAAAAAGCATGCTACTATAATAGCAAATATGAAACCAGCCCAGAAGTCTACACAATTTACATGTATTATTTGAAAACTTTGTAATAACATAAAAGCTACCTAAGACCCTGTATCAAAAACAAAAACAAAAAACAAACCACCAACTCTCCCTACCCACAAAAGCACCTCCAAATGAAAAGCCTGAGAGCCATCCTAAATATGTATACTACGTTCAGTGAGTGGTGTGAATGTTATGACACTGCCATACAAAACTGCAACCTCTCTAATCGCTAAAAAGTGGACATTACCTTATTTTAAAAAGTGTTTTAAACCATGACAGGAATTATCTAATTCCAAGTTTTAAAGGGGTTTTATTTCATTTTCTCTCTCATTTATTTGTGGGGGAAGAGTGAGTTATGGTTTGAGATGGGGCCTCATGTAGCCTAGACTTGCCTCAAACTTGCTGTGTAGCCTAGAATAATCTGGATCCTCATGCTTAGCGCTCTCCTCTACTTACAAAACCAAAACAATACTGATTATTTTCACAAATGACAAATTGGCATGACAACAGAAATTGACCACTGAGGAGTCAATGCTGAGTGCCATGGAGGGATCCCTGGGAAAGCTCACTGGAAACTTGGAAAATAACAGCTAAACACAATGGCCGGCTAAACAGAGACAGTCTAGGGGACTGTGAGACACACCAAGAACATCCCAGCAGTGTTCTCTATGAAATGATTCTCAGAGTCTTTTCTGTGGTCAAGTAAGTTTGGAAAACTACCCAGGGACTCCCTCTACTTAGGGAACTCACATAATGGCATGTAAGTAAGGAACTTGTTTTGCCTTGTTGAATGCTCTAGGCTTATTGGTCATACAATCTTTTCCTTGAATATCAAGAATTCAAGGATACCCTGAACTACATAAGACCCTGTCTGAAAACAAAGTAACTCCCAAAACAAAGACAAAGACTCTCTCTCTCTCTCTCTCTCTCTCTCTCTCTCTCTCTCTCTCTCTCTCTCTCTCTCATATACACACACACACACCCCAACAACTATCAACAATGGACATATAGTAAAAGAATCAAGCCCCCTACAATTCCATGGCATTCTCACACATTTATCAAATAGTTCTCACTCTAGTTTCCATCTGAACAGCCTCTAGGAATTTAAACAAGTTATATGGATTAGTTAATAACTCTTGGGGTCAGTGAGATGACTCAGCAAGTAAAGACACCTATTGCGAAGTCTGATGTCCTAAGTTCAGTCCCCAGGACTCCACAGAAGACAGACAGAACTGACTCTTAAAGGTTGCCCTGTGACCTCCACATGTGCAACACACATACACACACTCAATAAAAATGAGATAAAATTTTAAAATAAAAAATTGTATTTCTTTTTAAAAGCATACTATTATAATGGCAAATGCAAATAGTATATGCAATAGGTAACAGATTACTTTATTCATAAATATCAAAACATAAATAATAATATGATTACAATTTCTGGAGAATACTGGATTTACTTCGACATCTCACAACTGAGTGACAAATCTGTATGGCTAGAGCTCTAAAAAAGAAAACATGACATACTTGAAGGCACATAGCTAAGAAGCCTCCACACTTGAAACTCAAACTCAGATGCCAAAGTTTTCGTGAGCAGTGGCAACACTTACCAGTTATCCCCTCTTCTAGAAGGTCTGTCATTTTGCAGCACGATGATAGAAGCTTGGTGGTAAACTCATCTAACAGCATTATCTTAAAACAAAGCAAATTAAGAAAGAGCATAAGCTGCTGACTGTCAAGAATTACCAAACAATTAACAAACAGGATTTTAGTAATTCCTCTTCAGCTATATGATTTGGTGGCTTACTTTCTCACTATACATACATGCAAATATTACATACAAGTAAGGAAATAGAAATATTTCTATTTTGAAGCAGAGCTTGTTCATTTTAGATATAGCTACTATTTAACATTAAATTTTCCAAAAACGTAATTGTCGTTTATAGAATGATTGTTATAAAGCACTGTTCAAACATTTAGCATTTGCAACTATGGTGTGATGTATTATGATTCCTATCCTCTAGACAAGGAAACAGGGAAATGTTAGGTGACGTGCCCAAGGTACCACAGCTTAGAGGCACAGTAACATCTGAAAGTGCTAGTCTAGGCCAATGACCTTACAGAAACACCCTGAGTACAACATTCTGAAGCCCCCATAGAAGAGCAAATTACACAACTTCTACCTTCCATTCGCCTTCTTTCTTGCAGTCATCGAACACTGCTGTTTTTATCTCTGTTAAGAAAAAAAAAGTTTAGTAATCTAAAGCAATGCTTAGAAATGTAAGATTATGTAAAAGGTTCAAATTGGCTGAGAAAAACTTCAACTTGGAATATGTGGAATCACATACACACTACATATTAAGCTCTAAGTAAAATACAACCATATTCAATACCTAACCTATAAACTATAATATACTCTAAAACCTAAGTGTATGAACATGTCCAGAAGATATTTCTGAAACTATTATCTGATTTAGGATTTCCTTCTTTCTTAAATCTTAACTGGCTCATGGCTAAATTCCATCTGACAGGCAAATTTGCATAAACAGCTTTCATCTCATTTACTCTCTTGTTAAAGAAAACACGTGCACTGGGCTGGGGACGATTCAGTGGTTAACAGCAGTGCTCTTGCAAAGGACCTGCGTCAGGTTGTGAGTGCCCATCAAGCAGCTCATAACCACCTTCAGTTTCAGGGCATCTGGCATCTTTCAAGGATGACCTTGAACAAGTCCCCTCCTGCCTCTACCTCCCAAATGTTTGGAATTTAGGCATGCCTAACTCTAATTTATTTAAATTTTCTATTTCTAAATTTATAAGTCTTCAGTGAATACTTTTGGGTAGTTTGCCAAGTTTTGGATACCATTTTTTAAAGACAATTCTAACCATCTAATTAATAAGTGTTACTGTGGCATAATAAAAAATATAGGGGGGGGTGTTGAGAGATGGTTCAGTGGTTAAGAGAAAACACTACTCTTGTAGAGGACTAGAGTTTAGCTCCCAGCACCACATCCACCTGTAACTTGAGTCCTCCTCTGGCCTCCACAGACAACTATGCTTTCATATGCATACCCACTCAAGTATATACATAATTAAAAGTAAATATACATCTTTCAAAAAAAATCTGGTCTTTGTTTCTAGTTCCCGGCATAAGTTTAAAAACCCTTGAAATTTCTTATGTGATAGAAACAGTATGGTATGCTGGTGACACTGGTTACCAGAAGGACCAAGCTATGACTTCTAAGGAAGCAACAGGGATTAGAGATTGTGTTCAATCACCAGCGGCCATTGATTTCGTCAGTAAGGCCTACAGAATGAAACTTCCATAACCCACCCACTTTCTGAGTCACTGAATGCAGCCATGTGTAGCAATGACGACACACCCAGTTCCACAGGATGGAAGGCCCTGTGACCCAAACCCTCTGAACCTCCACCTAGAGACTTCAACTGTCGATTCGTATGCTTTAGAAAAACAACAAAAAACAATCAACAACAAAAGACCCCTTTAACAGGAAGCAGTTTACTACAGTTTGTAAGCCACCAATTACTGAATCTGAAAGGAAAGGCAGAGTACCCCAAGCCCGGGAAGTATGGGAAGCTGCTTGCTATTGTCATCTGAACTGGGCAGGCAGTCTTAAGGGTCTGAATCCTTAACCCTGCCAATGTTGGCCCTAAGTAGTATCAGAATTGAACTGAATTGCAGGATATCCCATCAGCATGTGAAGAATTGGAGAACTGGTTAGTAAGAAGGAAAAATAACTTACTTGCTGTGAGAATAACTTATTTCCTGTTCCAAGGAACAGGAGTTAGTTAATACTCATCACAAAAGTTGTGTTCTGGGGCTGGCGAGATGGCTTAGTGGGTAAAAGTGCTTGTGCTGCAAGCCTGACCATCTGAGCATGATCCCCAGATTCCATAATGTAATTGTGGCCTGTACACACACACACACACACACACACACACACACACACACACACACACACAAACCTACCTACCTCTGCATGGAATTTCAAAACCTGTGATCTGA